CGTCTGAGCAATTCTCAATTCCAGAGTCCAACCCTCCTCTGCCCCCAGCCCCCTGACAGCTGCAGCGAAATTCATCTGGACTCCCCCAGAAATTGGTCGCTATTTACCCCACCCTAGAAAGGGAACCTGTAGCGACACGGGACTCACCCCTGTGGCGCCTCCTGCTGGTCATCTCTGGGAATTAGCATTTCCAGCCTCCGTAGCGCCCTCTGCAGGCTGGTGTCCCACTGCTGCTTGGCCCCCGTGTCTCTCCCAGGACTCCGGTGCGCCATTCTCTGGGGTGCTGCCCCTGGCAGTACACCCCTCTGTCTCGAGGTCTCCCCTCCCTAGGGAACTCCTTCCCCCTCTCCCCACCTCACCTCAGTCATAGGCTACTGCCAGTCACCAACTAGCCCCGCTCCCTGGGGCAGACTGCAGTATAAGCCACTCATCACAGACAAGGGGTTTTGGGACCTGCTGCCTTTCTCTGCAACCCGGTACCTCTGGGGCCTTGGACAAGGCCCTGCAGCCTGGGGAATTGCCAGCCTAGAGCGCCCCAGCCCTACTTCACTGCCAGTCCCCTTTCTGCAAGCAGCCAAGCCCTGCTCTCTCCCAGCCTGGAGAGAGACTTCTAGGCCACTGGCTCACAGCCTTTATATACAGGCCAGCTGTGGCCTGACTGGGGCGTGGCCCCCAGCTAAGACTGCTTCCCCAATCCGCGTAATAGCAGCTTTCTCCCAGCCACTGCCCTGTCCTAGGGCTGTCTTGAGCCCTTCAGGGCAGGAGCGGCGTAACCACCCTGCTACAGAACCCCAGTGTCCCCCAGCCCTGACCCGCAGCTCGGCCTGGCCCCCGCAGGGTCTGGCTCTCAAAGGTTCCAGCCCCTTTCGCCCCGAGAGTCCATTCCCGCCAGCCTCTCTCACCGAGGGGGGGCGAAGTGTTTGGATCTTCACACGGCAGGTGCCTGGGAAGGACTCGGCGGGTGGTTCGCAGAGTCCCACAAAGGGGGTTTTAATTCAAGTGCGATTTGCCTCTAACCCAGCGCCCCTGCGGCTTAGCGCTTGCTTTGCTTGGGAGCTTCTGAGCAGTGACAATAAACCAGCTTCTAGCACATGAAAAGTTGAAGCGCCGTGAATCATTTCATCTCCTGTTAAAGCATAACCACCCCCCGCCGCTGGGCTGGGCTGGGAGAGCTCAGAGGGTGAGATTAGGGTCTGTCAGAGTGGCACTAAGAGGCCCCACTACGCTAGGTGCTGTACACACACAGTATGAGACAGACAGTCCCTGCCCTAAAGAGCTCACCATCTAACTAGACACAGGGTGAGAGGGGAAACTGAGGCACAGGGAGGGGAAAGGGTTTTACCCAAGCTCACAGAGCCAGTCAGTGGCAGCGCATGGAACAGACCCAAGGGCTGCAGTCAAGTGCTCTGCCCACTAGGCGGTGCTGCCTCTCAGTCCAGAGGGAGGAGATAGAGGGAAACCAGGGGGCGCTGGTTCTGCACGGGTTACACACAGACAGGCCCGGCAGGAAGGGGAGGGGAGCTGGGGTTGGCTCCTGGTGATGGGAGCTGGGGCTGCGGCTGGAGCAGAGGAAACAGCCATGCCAGCAGCAGTGTCCCAGCCCTGCAGTGCCCAGGGCTGCCCAGCGTGAGGGGCGCTATGGGGAGGGGGCAGCAGCCCTGATGGGGCAGCTCTTTGTTACCAGAGTCGCTGTGGAGCAGCCCCCGAGCGAGGCTGGGAGCCCGGTGCCCCCAGGGCTGAACGGGCCCCAGAAACGGGAGCAGCAGCTGGAGGCCGCACTGCAGAGAGCGCAGGCCTGGACCCCCCGCAGCCCCCAGTGTCCTGCCCCCGGCACAGTCCGGGTTCAGCCCGGTTATTCCTGCTTCTGAGCTGTGGGCCCCGGGGGACTTGACCAGCTGGGATCCAGGCTCCTCGCTGGAAGGAGGCTAGTCCAGGCCCCGGGGGCTGGAGCTCCAGAGAATGGGGGAAAGCCCACAAGGGAAGGCCCAGCCCAGGCCCACAGGCTCTTCAGAGAGTGAGACCTCCAGGGGCTAAAGTAAGAGGGCCGGCCCCAGCCCCGCTGCAGCCCCCGACCCTGGCCCAGGTAGAGTCTCAGCACAATCTCCCTTCCCGTCCTCTCTGAGACGCCACCATCGTAACAGCTCCCCCAGCCCCTGCGGGGCTGCGACACCCCAGGCCCCCCAAGCCGCCTTGCCTGGTCCCTGGGGTGTTTTGGCCACTGGCCCCATGGAGCTCGGCCCAGGAGGGGCGAAGGATCCCGCGAGGCCCAGGGAGAGGTTGGTCCCCTCGCCAGGGGAGGCTCTGGGCAGTCACAGCCACAGGTACTCGGCCAGGAAGGCAGCCAGGATCTTGCAGAGGTTCTCCACGGTCGGGGGGTGCAGGTTCTGCTCCGTGTCCTCCATCGTGTGCCAGACCCACGGGAAGGGGGTGGCGATGAGGTGCAGCACCGGCACTCCTGCAGCCAGACAGATACACGGACGGTCAGCGGGGATCCAACCCGGGACCTGCAGCGCTGGAAGTGCATCTCCAATAGCTGTCAGCAGTAGTAGGCTGTTATCCCCATGTGGCCCAGCCACTAGAGGGCGACTTGTAACACATTCTAAACCCACATACGGCCTCAGCAGATGGAACCAGGCCCTCAGGCACCACTCGGCATGCTGTGGCGGTGACTGGTAGCCAGGACAAGCCTATCTCCTTTCCTGGGGGAGCAATGGCTAGCAACTCACGGAGACACCAGCCATACAATCTCTGTAACTGAACATACACATAGCAATGCCTTATCCATACCAGCCGCTCACCCAGGCACCGGATGGATGGTTTGCTTCCTTCCTAGCAAGCCTATGCAGCCACCGCCAATATCCCACAGCATGGTTTTAAGACAAAGAAAAATGCGGCGAGTGCGACCCAAGCAACTTACTTCAGCACTTAGCCGAGCGGTCGGCCATAGCGATTGTTCGCCATTTGGTCTGTTCCTGGGGGGCCACAAGGGCTTGACAGCCTGCATGGGGGGAGGGATAGCTCAGTGGTTTGAGCATTGGCCTGCTAAACCCAGGGTTGTGAGTTCAATCTTTGAGGGGGCCATTTAGGGAACTGGGGTAAAAATCTGTCTGGGGATTAGTCCTGCTTTGAGCAGGGGGTTGGACTAGATGATCTCCTGAGGTCCCTTCTAATCCTGATATTCTATTTAAAAAAAAAAAACAGACTTGGGGAGGCTAGCCCCTGGCCTGCCACTTCTGCCCAAGGCCCTGTCCCTCCCGCTGAAGCCCAGAGGCCCCCTCTCAGCCCCAGGACACCCGGCTCCCACCACAGCGCACTGGGTGGGCGGCATAGCCCTCCTCCCCCAGCCCTGGAGCACCCGATGGGTGGTGCGCCCCCCTGCGCGCCAGTCGGGTGGTTGCAGTCCTGCTCCTCCAGCCCCAGGGCGCCGGGCGGTTGGCGCCCGCTCTCCCCGGCAGGCAGAACGGCCTCCAGCCCTGGAGCGCAGGCCAGCCCTCATTAGCCCCAGCCATGGGGGAAGAGCCCCCCCCCCCTGCAGCGCAGCACTGGGAAGCAGAAAGGAGCCTGGGGGCAGGGCATGGGCATGCAAGGCAGTTTTGGGGAGGTTCAGCCTTCCCCTGCCTTCGATACCCGCCACCCATGACAGCCTGAGAGTCCAACAGCGGAACAGAGTTGATGCTCCCATGTACTAGGGGGTCAGCCACTGCCACGCCTTGGTCGGTGGAATTTTATCCCGGATGGTTCAAGCCACCCAGAGAACGGCCTTTGCTGGAACGTCTTGTGGCATTCTCACGACACGGCCGAAAAGCATAAGACACCGTCTGTCTGTAGACCGGAGCGACCATAAACAACTGCGTTATGAATGAAGTCGTTCGACTTTACGCCCAGTATACGACGTTGGCATTTTGTGCCCAGTCTGAGCGGCGGCGTGTCCGTGTTTCGCAGCCGTACAGCGGTACGGGGAGGACACAGCTCTCATAGATCCTCCGCTTGGCCGTCGTGCTGAGATGATGTTGCTCCATTGCAGACGACCCATGGCAGATGCTGCGCCGCCGAGCCGCTGGAGACCCTCCAGGGGAGAGATGGAGGAACTGGCGAGTATCGAGCCCCGAAGCCGGAGTTCCGGGATTCAAAGAGCTCGGAGTCGCAGCTGGACCCGATCCTGGATTTGGCAGCTTTGTCGTTGACACACACAGGGCTGGCTCCAGGCACCAGCCCACCAAGCTTGTGCTTGGGGCGGCACCTGGAGGGGGGCGGCGCGGCGCTCCAGCCCCGGGGAGAGCAGGGCCACGGCCGGGCTCGCCGCCCTCCCCCCTGGCGCCCTCTCACCGCCCTGCCCCCCTGCGCTCTGGCCGCCGGGGGCAGAGCGGAGCCCCCGCCAGGGCTCACTGCCCTCCTCCCAGGGCTCCGGCCGCCCTCCCCCCACCCCTGGGGCGGCAAAAAAAACAGAGCCGGCCCTGGACACACACAGCCCAGCTCCGGCTCGTTCGAAAAGCAGGAGAACCAGTGGCTTTTCCACACTCCTTAAAGCACACACACCGATCAGAGACATCGACTTCGCCCATTTACCAACAATGTGTTATCTCTGCCTGGCTTCCCAGCCCTGCCCCAGGACCCCGCACCCCACCTTGGCAAACATAATGCAGGGCCGCCCGGGGGTGGGGAGGCAAGTGGGGCAATTTGCCCCAGGCCCCGAGCCCCGCAGGGGCCCCCATGAGAATATAGTATTCTATAGTATTGCAATTTTTTTTTATGGAAGGGGCCCCCGAAATTGCTTTGCCCCAGGCCCCCTGAATCCTCTGGGAGGCCCTGGCATAATGTCCCATCAGGAGTCTGGTGGCACCTTAAAGACTAACTATCTGTTAGTCTTTAAGGTGCCACCAGACTCCTTGTTGTTTTTGTAGATACAGACTAACACGGCTACCCCCTGATACTTGTCCCATCAGGGTGAGTACCCAGCCCTTCACCTCCGGGCTTCATTGAAAGATCAGCGCTGCTCTCTGCCGCCCTCTGCTGGACAGTGCGGGGAGGCGGCAGCCAAGAATGTTTTTCTGGGGGGCTTGGTGGGCGAGCCCCTGGTCTCCTCTTCCCCTCTGACAGCTAATCCCAGCCGAGCTCCCCAGCACTGAGGGGCGCGCCCCTGGAAGGAGGCGCTGTGGGGCCCCTTGAACCCTCCCTGCCCTGTGTCCCAGAGACCGCTGGCTGTATGTGTGGGGGGGAAGAGGTGGATTCTGGGTGAGATTCCCCCGGGCGGGGGCACCGCCCCTCCGCTGGGGCGACTGGGGTGCAATTACCCCCCACTCCAGCCTGGCCCCACTTTGCTGCATGCTGGACCCCCACTCTTGTGAGGTAAGGGCTTAACCCCTGCCCAAGGCTCGATTCCCCTCCCCGGGGTCCCGATCCTTCTCCCCACACTCCAGGGGGCCTGATCCTGGCCTTCCCCCTGCCCCCTAAAAAGCCAGATAAGTCCTGCCCCGCACTAGCCCTGGTACAGTGACTAGGGGCATGGCTGCTGCTGGGCGGGTACCAGGGGGGCTGGGCCAGGGGGCTGGAGCAGCTGCCGGTGGAGCAGCCAGAGCCTGACCCCCATGTACTGTTCGGGGACCGGTTCCCCAGCTGCAGGAGAAGCAGCGAAGCTAGAGGCCCCGCCCCATCTGTATAAGCCCCGCCCCAAATATGCATAGGCCCCGCCCACATACCGGAGAGCCATAGTCTGCTCCCACCTATGTCACCCCCCTCATTTTCAGGCTTTGCCCCTTCCCCAAGAAACCCCGCCCTATCTTCTCCAAGCACCTCCCCATCTCGCTCAAAGCCCCGCCCCTTTTCTTCCTACCGAGACTACGCCCCCAGTCCCGGCCCCGCCGTATCGCAAGCCGGCCCGGCCCTTGAGCGCGTTTCTGCTGCGTGCGGAGCCGCGACATCACCGGTCATGGAGAGGCCGAGCGGGGCCGCCCAGAGCGCGGGGTGAGGGGCGGGGCGCTGCCCTCCAGCCCATAGACCCCCCAAACCTCCCTATGGGACCCCCTCCGCCCCATAAACCCCACAGTCACCCATGGGACCCCCCTGCACCCAGTAAACCTCCAGTCCCTCATAGGACCCCCCTCCATCCCATAGACCCCCCAGTCCCCAACGGGACCCCCTCCTCCACCACATAGACCCCCAGCCAGGGACTCCCTGCCCTACATGGGACCCCCCTCCACCCCATAGACCCCTCCATGGGACCCCCTCCACCCCATAAACCCCACAGTCACCCGTGGGACCCCCCTGCACCCAATAAACCTCCAGTCCCTGATGGGAACTACCAGCCAGGGACCTCCAGTCCCTCATGGAACCCCCCCTCAACCCCATAGACTCCCCAGTCCCCAACGGGACCCCCTCCTCCACCACATAGACCCCCCCAACCATAGACCACCCGACCCCCATGGGAACCTGCTTTCAGCCTTATAGACCTCCCAATGGGATCCCCTCTCCAGCCCCATAGACCCCCAGCCAGGGACTCCCTGCCCTGCATGGGACCCCCCCTCCACCCTGTAGACCTCCCCGTCACCCATAGGACCCCCCTCCTCCACCGCATAGACCCCCCAACCATGGACCTCCTGCCCCCCATGGGAACCCACTTCCAGTCCCATAGACCCCCCCATGGGACCCTTCCCTCCCCTCCATCCCCAGAGATCTTCCTGCCCCCCATCGGAACCCCCATCCAGCCCCATAGATCCCCACTCCCCTGCCCCACATGGGAACCCCCCCTTCCAGCTTCATAGACGTCCCTCCTCCAGACCCACCCAGCCAGGCCACCTCCTCCCACAAACACCCCATCTGCCATCCCCCTTAGCTAGGAACCCCCCTCCAGTCCCCACAGGGAAACCCCATCCTAACCCCACAACCCACCCAAATCCTACACATACTCGGACCCTCTGCTCACCCCACAGATAAAGTCCCCCAAAATTCATATGCCTCACGAACCCCCATACAGACCACTGCCCCTTTCTCTACAGACCCCCCCTCCAGAATTCCCATCTCCTGTTGGACAGGGTGGTCTCTCTCTCTGTCTCTGACTCTCTTTTCTGTTCCCCCCACAGCTCCCTCAAGCCCAGAGAGCCCAGCCCCACAGGGCCACCCGCCTCGAACCAAGCCATGCTGGAGACGCTGCCCATTCTGCCCTCCTACCCCAGCCCCATCTCTGACACAGCTTGGACCCTGGATCACCCATCCACCGGGGGCCTCTCCTCCATCACAGTCCCTGTCCGGCTGGATGCCCTCTCCTACCTGCTCAACAGCGCCCTCCTGGGGGCCTGCATGGCCAGGACCCAGACGCCCCTCTCTGGCGGCCAAGGGCCATTGGCCACAGGCCACGGTGGCCCTACGCCACTTGCACTAGGCAGCAGGTGCCACCCACACTACTGCTGCAGCCCCCAGCCGGCGTGTGCCAACCCCCCGCAGCCCAATGGCGCCCGGCAGGCTTGGGTGGGGTGCTGTGGGGGTGGCGCCATGGGGCAGAGCAGCACTAGCTGTTCCCAAGAGGCGTCCAGGGGCCGTGCCGATGGGCAGAACTGCTCTCCAAGATGGGATCAGCGTGGGTCTGCGTCGCCAAGGGGCTGGGGTGAGAATCGGAGAGCTGGGGGGCAGAAAGATTTTAATCGACCCTGGGGGGGCGGGAAGCCGCGGGGCGAGGTGGACTCCGCCCCATGGAAGGCAGGTCTTGGGGGTTCACGCAATGGCCCAGGAAGAGCCCAGGACTCAGGTTATGCACCCTGGAAGCGGAACCAAGATGGCCGCCCGTGGGGCACCCCAGAGTCCAAGAGATGGTCTAGCGGATGGCCGCAGAGACGGGGCTCTGGAGCAGAGGAAACGGAGCCAGCCAAAGCCGCTAGGGAAGATTGGGAGGAGGATTACAAGGGGTCCGCCGCCCAAGGGAGTGTCTTGGAGGAAGCCACGTCTTCCCAACCCAACCTCCCAGCTTCCCAAGGAGGAGAAGACTGGGAAAAGGAGTATGAAAAGTCCAGAGAGCCTCCCAAATCAGCGCCAGCGGTTCCCCCTCTTCCAGAGGTGGCCTCGAAGGCTCAAACAGCCTCCCTCCAGGAGAAGACAACCCCCCTACCACCTAGCAAGGACAGCAGCTTCTCCAGCTATCTCGAGAACCTCTTCACTGACCTGCCAAGGGAGTCCAGCACCGTCTCAGATCCATGCCAGGAGAGAGAGCCCCACGGGGACGCTGCCGAAAGTGGGACACGTCCCCCGGAAGGAGGAGGCCAATGTGGCCAGGTGTCTGCCAAGCTTGGTGATTTCACAGCCAGGAGTGTAGACCCCGCCTGCTCCGCCGTGGAGAATGACAGATCTTGAGCCCTGGGCTGTGGAAAGGCTCGGGTCTGTTCCCAAGTTGGGATCTTGTGGTTCTCCTGTTAAACTGAACCTCCATTGACAGCTCTACCAGCCTGTTGGGCTCAGCCCAAAGGCCCCAGCACTGAGCTGGGGACAATTTCAGCCAAGGGTTGGTTTGTTCATAACCAAGTTCTTTCTCATCCTCCATCCATTCCTTGCCTTCTACCCATGATCCTCCATTCCCAACCCCCGTCTTTCTCTGTCCAAAGATTTTGATGTTGAATTAGGTTTAAAACCGGGACTTGCCTAAAAAACAAAAACGAGATCCAGAATTTCTGTTTTGTTCGTCTCTCTTAATTGGTTACATTCCGAGATTTGGTTTAAAAAAAACTAAACACCAAACCCAAATCCCATATCTTCTCCCCCAGCGGAGTGCCAGATCATGGGGGGTTTGTATCATTTAGTTAGTAACTCGAAGGTTTGCTTTTATGTCCAGGTTAGACAATGAAGCTCAGATGAGTGCCCGTATTCTGCAAATTAACGATGTGGTTTATGGCTCCATAAATCCCCAAAATGGCAAATACTTACGCGTGTGCTTAGCGGATGTGTTACCCAGGGCACTCAAGTTAACTCTTGGCTAATTTTTCAAGATCAGGGTCTAAATTTTTAACCTTGGAGGTCTGGGGATTAGTCCTAGGTTTAAAACCACCCTAAATATCCCATGTATTTTTACCAGCTCCCCTCCCCATCTCTGATTTTGTATCATCAATCACATTTGGAATTTTTCAAGATTTGTGGTTTTCTTTCTAGGTTAAGAAAACACCCAAAGAACCAGGCTGTTTTGAAGTCTTACTAGAGTGGCGCACCTGACAGTGTTAAGTTGTGTTTGCAAAGACCGTTGGATTTTGAGTTGTCTGAACAAGTTGAAACGTTTCTTTGTCTGGGGTGATTTAACAGTTTGAACTCACTCAGCTCTCTGTCCTGATTACATGGGTGAGACTGAACCTGCTAACTACACCAGAAATCAGAGAGTGAAGTGGAGGGTTCGACTGATTGCTAAAATACAGATGTTAGACATGCAATACAATTTCTCTCGACTGGATGGAGATTTAAAAAGTGAATTTAATTTAGCGCATATGCTGTATATGTTGTATCTGCACTGTAACTTCTGTGCACTACAAAGGAAAAAATGGAGAAGTTGACTTATTACATTTATGGTACATCGATCATTCAAATCGCCCATTCCAGGGAAATGTTATTGCACATAGAACTATATCTTTGTGCTATACAGAGGTTAAAATGTCAATACGATTAGTTGCATATGTAACATATAGATGTAATAATAGAAATTTGCCAGTTTAATCTATATAGCCCAGACATTATATTATTACAACATATATGCTGTTATCTATATGCAAAATAATCCTACCCCAAATAATTTCTGTGCCATGTGTAGAGATTAAAATAGTGAATTTGCATTGTTGCATATTTTAATTATTGCATATTTATTTATTTTTTGCATTATTGCATATGTATCCCAGAGCAATTATATTGCACGTAGAACTATATCTAGTGCTATGTAGAAGTTAAAATTGCAATACAACTTATTGCATATCTGACATATAGCTACATTCATAGAAATTCACCACTTTATTCCATCTAGCATATACGTGATATCACATATATGAGCCATATAGCACAGACATTATATTGCTGTGATCTCAACATGTATGCAATATAATTGTTGTGCTATGTGGAGATAAAAACTTGCCCTATTGCATATATTATTTGCATATTAGACCACGACATTGTAGCCCTGCAATCAAATTTGCCATTTTAATATCTAGCACAGAGAAATTATGTGGTGTGTGTGATATGTGCACCTTTAGCAATAAGTCAGACTCGCTGTTTAACTCTCTGTATAGTGGAGGGAAATTATATTGCATATGTGAATATATATTCCAGCAGTGGCACCTGACCACAATGAATGATGCATCAAAGATCCCTGTGTATGAACACGAGGGAGCGTTACTGTTGGGTTATGGCATTGGGGGGTTATTTTTAACAGAGGCAAAAGATGCCTTCCGGTTCATCAGGAAACCTGGTCCTTTGAAATCCACGGAGCGAAGCGTTACCCTTTGGTTACGGTGTCTGAAGCATTGGGATTGTGCATGTGGTTTGCCTCAAGAAACAGCCTCAACTCTTCGGCGTGAAAGCCCAAGAGTTGAATTGGGTGTTTTGTCTTGAAAGGGGACCAGTGTCGGATCCCTCAGGATGGGAGATGGGGACCAGAATGGGACCCCCTGGATGTGAACATCGGCTGGGTCCCTATGTGCTGTTATTTCATAATAACTGTTATTTAATGTAACTGAGGACCGTTGACAACTGTTGAGTTCTTTCCGGTTGTGAATAAAGGTTTTGTTTGTACTTCGGCTGCACTGGGGTTTGAGGGATTATATTTTGGTGGAATTTTACTTAGAGGATTAGAGAATGGGACATGGGGCCTTTCCCCTCTAGGGGGCGCAGGCTCTGATCCAGCCCCACAGTGGGGGTCTGGCTGGCTCAGGGGTGCTAGGACTGAGACGAAAATCTGCCCGTATTTTCAACGGGCTAATTCCTATAGAAGCAGCAAGGGACTTTCTTGTAATGTTGGCTCCCTACGCAGCCCATCACTGAGCTGGTGTCTCTGTAGAGCAGGGAGAAGAACAAGAACAAGTGTTTGGGATCAAATTAGCACTGTACAGAGAAAATTGAAGGGTATCAGGAGGGGCTCTATGCCCCACCCCAGAAGCGGCTGCATCTCAGCACCGGGTGAGGGGTCCCTGTATGAAACCAGGACACCGGCTCCTTTCTCCACCACGCTGTCCAGGGATGGCTCTGTCTGGCCACACGAGGCTCTCAATGGAACTGACCCCATCCCCACCCTGGCCCCCGGTGGCATTATTAAGTCCGTAGTGGGCTTCATCGGTGGGAGCTACATTTTAGTGCAAACGCTTACGGGGTTAGGTTGACATATGCTGCCTTACATAGACCTGCCTGTAGTGTAGACCAGGCCTGCGTGTCTGGGCAGCGCCTAGCGCGACGGGGCCCTGATCTCGGTTGCTGTGTATCTGGGCAGCACCCGGCCCGACGGGGCCCTGATCTCGGTCACTGTGTGTCTGGGCAGCACCTGGCGCAATGGGGCCCTGATCTCGGTCATTGTGTGTCTGGCAACACCCAGCGCGTCGGGGCCCTGATCTTGGTCACTGTGTGTCTGGGCAGCGCCCGGCGCGACAGGGCCCTCATGTCAATTGGGGCCTCCAGGTGCTACTATAATTTAATTAATAAGGTTTATGCACCTGTTGGGTATCCTTGAGCCAGTCCCTTCCCCCTCTGTGCCTCACCCTCCCCATCTGTAAAATGGGGATAGTGACCCTGGCTATCACTGAGAAGTGCTAGGAGATCCTCAGCAGGGCCAGTTGTTTTGGCATCAGTGCTGTCTGGCCCTCTGGCCCAAGGCTCATTTCTGACCTTGCCAGATCTTCTTCCATCGCTGGACTGAATCCGCCTCTCCCAGAGGCACTACCTGGGTTAACAGAAGAATTCTTTCATCAACCTAGCGCTGTCTACACTGGGGCTTAGGGCAGTTTAACTACAGCACTCAAGGGTATGAGTTTTTCACACCCCTGACCGACGCAGCTGGGTCGACCCACCTTTCTAGTGTAGAGCAGCCCTCAGGCCCTCTGCAGACTCAGTCAGTGTCGGTCACACCCAGGGCAGCTCCCCCTTCTCAGAGCGACGGGCTCAGGCTGGCTGCAGACTCAGGCAGCGTCGCTGTGTCGCTCACAGCAGGCCAGGGTTGGAAGGTTTTCTTTGCAACTCTGAAGGTAGGAAACTTCCTCTTTGCAGTGCAAGCCGAGATTCTACGTCACACCAGCCCCGGGGCTGGATCCAGACTGCACGTCACATGGACACCTCCGTGCCAGAAGGATGGTGGAAGATCATCCTAAAATTGTCAGTGCAGATGCTGCCTGGGACTTGAACGCCCCGTCGGTTTCTCTGCGTGTGTTCTCAGCAGCACCATGGAGAGGCGCAGTGTTTATTACTGCAGTGAATCCTGGTGGCTGTAGATCTGTTAGAAACGGCTTGTCAAAATTCCCTTTTCTAAGTAACTTGAACAGATCAGACAGATTTAAGCATTTGTAAAGATCTGGATCAATTGAAATGTGCAGTTGCCGGACGTTATGGGGGGGACTGTCGGATTGAACGACGGCAGATGCTGAGATTCAAGAAGTTAAATCGACCTAAATGGCATCCCGCTAACACGGGCATGACAGCGTGTTTTAGCACGTTAAGGTGGGACTCACGTTCTCAAGCAGAATTTTTCTTGAGTTGCCTTTAAACTTCAATTTTCATCCGTGCAAATGGTTTTTCGTGGGTACGCGGAAATCGACGCTTCCTGACATTACTGATAAAAATCTAACCCTTCCAAGCCCAGCCGTAAGCCAGGTTTAGACTCTAAAACCCATCAGATCTCGCAGCCTGACATGCCGCTCCCACAGCCCCTTCACTTAGTACCTTTTATTAGAAAAGGCTTCGCAAAATCTCCTGCCTGTACGGCCTTCAATAATCAGGAGTCACTGCGACCCAGCACCAAAATGCAGCCAACTCTAAGGTGGGACAAGGCAGGTCTATAACAAGCACATGACTCCGCAGTTTAGGACAGGAAGTGAAGAATACCAGATCTGAAGCTGCCAGGGGAGTTTAAAGAGGTAGGATGGCATCACCCTGGTTAGTAATTGGTCCGGTGACAGGGGCTGACGCCCTGCATCGTGCAAGGAGAGAGAGATCTTTACCTTTAAACGGCTCTGTACGCCCCCAATCTCGGTGTCTCTGGTTAGGACCAATTTTGTCTCCAAACTTTTTGTGAAAAATACTTCACAATTCTCAGAGCATCCCACAGCAGCGTTCTCCTGGTGAAAAGTTCCTTTTTTGGGTTCGAACGGACTTTGCATTTAAGTGAATTTATCAGAAAAAAATCTAAACCAGGGGCATCCTTGCCTCCCTGTCTGTAAAGTGCCACCCCAACACAGCGGTCATGAGGCTTAGCGGTCTGGAAAGCGTTTTGTAAATGTAGAGTCCTGTAGCATGGATAAGCATAAATAATTTTCAAAGTAATTAAATGATCAACATGTTGCTTGACCTGAATGGAATCTCCCCCCCCCCCCCACTCGTCAGCCACACCCCGCTGCCTTCTCAGGCCCAGCCCCACTTGGCCATCTCTAGCCACTGCTGCTCTGCGGTATTTGAAATATAGGAGGAGACAGACCACGGCCAGAAAGAAACCCGGTGATCACCCAGTCTGAGCTCCTGCAGACCCCAGGCCGGAGAACCCCAACCCAGCCATTCCAGCAGCCAGCCCATAGCTGGTGGTCGAGCTAGGGCAGAACTTGAGACGTGCTCAGTCATGATGGAGAGAATCCCCCTTCCCCCCGGAGGAATTGCTCCAATGGTTAATCACCCTCATTATTAAAAATGTCCCCTCGGAATTTGTCTTGTGTCAACTCCCATCATTGGATCCCATTTTGCCTTGGTCCGCTGGGTTGGAGCCGTCTACTCTCAGAAATCTTCTCCCCATGGAGTGCAGACAAACTGGGAAACCAAGTCACCTCCAAGTCCAACCCTTCCCTTGGCTAAACTAAATAGATCGAGCTTCTTGGGTGTCTCGCTAGGCGGCAGGTTTCTCAGTAACATGGAGCCACGCTAGAGGATGGTGGTTCCAAGCCTGCATCCCTGTCACAAAACCACAGCCCCGGGGGCTGACTCCCACTCCCACAGGACAGGCTGAAGGCTCACTGTGCTTTGGGCTCCAAGCCTTTAACTTTCACTAGCCCTCACTAACCCTTTGCAGACGGTTAAGCAGAACGAGAACTAGCCTGCTGTGTGTCACATCCCCTCTACTGTTCCCAGCCGATGGCGATTCTCCTTTGGCTCAAGGGACGGAGCTTTGGTGGCATGAGCCAAGTTCCATCCCCCCCCCCCTCGCTGGCGCAGGGCAGAGCGGAGGCATGGGAGGGGATCAGCAGCCGGCAGGAAGTTAGAAAGGTTTATTTACAACAGGGATCATCACACAACACAGCAGAGAACAGCACGTGGGGGGATGGGGCGCACACAGGATCACAGCACAATCACCTGCCGCCCACCGGGGCACTGAGAGGAACCAGATACCGCTCAGGAGCCAGCACTGTGGATGCAGCTACTGGCTTGACCTTGGAGCGAAGGGACCAGATCCCATAGCAGACAGGGCTGCTGAGGGAGACTCTGGCCATGGGCCTTTTAGCTCTAACAGCTGAATGCCCAGTTGCTGAGCTGGTCGGAGGCTCCTCCAGGCCAATGAATCAGGCAGGGGGCTTAGAGCAGCTGAGGGACCAATGGCCAGGTCTCCCGAAGCCCCGTGTGCTGCCACAAAAGCAGATGAGGGGGAGCGCAGGGGACGCTCCCTCAGCCGCCGAGACGCGGGAGATTTCGCGCACCAGCGTTAAAAGTCGTTCAAGCCACTGGAACGGCCAGAGACTGAACAGTTCGCTCGTTTCACTGCCGTGTCCCTCCCGGGTGCTCTGACCAGGGGATCGAGCGCAGGGCAGCTGCCCACCCAGGCAGGCAAACTGGCCGCAAGGCATCCCGCCCCGGTGGGACGTGGTTAACTGGGAGCGGCTGGTGCAGGGAGAGGGCTTGGCAAGATCGGACCGTGCCACAGCTTCTGGGATAGCCCCTGTCTCGAGCTGGCTTGGCCTCCGTGTTAAGAGGCTGCCCCCTCCCCACGGATCGCAGGATTCCAGCCTCCCAGGGGCTCTGCTGTGAGGTTGGAACAGCTGGGAAGCTGCCCGTGGGGGATGGTCAGGCGCCGAGGCTGCAGCTGTGAAGGGCTGAGATCCGCCCGGGGGTTTCAGCAGCCCAAGGGCGGGTCGAGGGGGCCCGGAGGATCCTCTCAGCCCAGCTCGGTGCTGTCGGCGTTGAGAGGCCAAGGCCGGCCCAGGCTGCTAAAACTGAGCTAAACAGGAGAGAGAAGGGGGGGGCTGGAAGAGGGTCCCATCAGCCTGTTGAGCTCAGAGTTCTCCATAGGACCCTCCACTCCACAGGCCCCCCCCCCCCTTCCCTGAGGGGTCAGAAATCCACAAGCCAAAGTGGGGCAGGCGCCCCCTAGCTGCCACCAATGTGAAGGGAGTCACTCCCAGGAGGAAATGTCCCATGATCCTTTGCTCCTGGGCACTTGGGTATAACTACAAAGCCACCTGCCTTCTGTCCAGCCCGTGGGGGTGGGGATTTCTGATGGGAACAAGCTAGGGGGGGAACTAAGATCTTGAGCCCCCTCTCCCAAAGCTCCACCTTGCTAATCTTCTATTGTCCAGCCTGGAGTAGAGCCCAGAGACAGCAGGGCAAAGAGTCCCTGTGGGGGAGAGAGGTCTTGGCTCGGCCCCATGGGAGTGGCAGGGAGGGCTCCAAGGCCTGGTCGCTTGGCCCACCTCTCCAGGTCCCCCTGCAAGCAGCGTGGAGGGCTCCGAGCCTGGGCCACGTGCCAGCCCTCCCGCTCCCACACTCCGCTGGCTACGTCCTGGTGTCCAGGTTGTTCATGTACTCCTGCAGGGCCTGCAGCCGGGCGTCGATCTCGGACAGGTCGGCCGATGGCTCATCGTACAGGTTCTCTGTCGGAGGAGACGAGCATTCATCGGCTGGGCCCTGTGATCGCCAGGCCAGTCCCGCACTCTAGTCCCCGGGCCAGCCGGGACCACGAGCGCCACAGCCACAGGAGTGGGGAACTGCTCAATAGGGGACCTCTCTCCAGCCCTGTGAGCAGGATCAGAGGGCTCAAGGCCGGGCAGAGGGGAGCCAAGAATGGAGAGGGAACTTCTGAGGGAGGAGAGGTTGGGGGGGAAGACAGGGCACGTGAGCAGGGATCGAAGAAACCATAATCTGCAGAGAACCTTGGGCTGCTCCAGGAGGATTTGCCTGGGGCTGAAATGCAGCCACCTCTGGGGCGGAGTGTGGCAGCTGTTTATATCGGGGGTGAGAGTGAAAGTAGCTTGTGCAGCGAAGCTCCGGGGCAAATGGAATTTGGCAGCACACGGGGGTTAGGAGCCCAGCTCATGGCAAAAGGGCCAGAGGCCTCAGTAACCGTGGTGGGGACAAACTGAGTGACATGAGGCATCCAGATGACATGCCATGACAGGGCACTGGGGTCAGCACTGACTGCAAGGGGAGAGCGCCCCCTGCTGGGCCCACACTGCAGCACAGCCCTCTTCCTAACCAGCTCACCTTTATCCGCTCGCTTGCTCGCGGTGGGGGTGCTGGCCAGGCGTTTCCTGCGCCCGGCATCCGCTCGAGGAGCCTGCAGGGAGAGGAGAAAGCTGCAGGGTCGTCTCCTCTGGGCTGCCCAGCTGGGTCCCCCCCGGCGTGTCCCCGTCCCAGCCAGCGGCACTCTTCAGCCAGGGCTATCGGAGACGCTGACTGGGAGAGTCCTGTTCCCTGCTGACACATGTATTCCCAGGGTGCCGGGGAAACGGGACACCTGGGTTCTGGACCACAGCAAGTCAGCGGCAGAGGTGGGAACAGCCTCCAGCTGTCCTGGCTCCCAGCCCCCCTGCTCTAACCACTAGACCCCACTCCCCTCTCAGAGCTAGGGATAGAACCCAGGAGTCCTGGCCCCCTGCTCTAACCATGAGTTCCTACTCCCCTCCCAGACCTAGGGATAGAACCCAGGAGTCCTGGCTCCCTGCTCTAACCACTAGATCCCACTCCCCTCCCAGACCTAGGGATAGAACCCAGGAGTCCTGGCCCCCTGATCTAACCATGCGACCCCACTCCGCTCCTAGAGCTGAGGATAGACCCCAGGCCCCTCCCCCATCACAGCCCCTCCCCTTCCCCTCGGTCTCCATTTCCCAGACTCGCCCCGTGCTCTCTGACGTACTCCAGGTCATTTAGCACTGAAGGCAGAGGCACTGCCTTGAGGACGCTGGGTGGGGTGGGAGACCCCGGTGCCCCCCCACGGCCCCAGCCTCTCCCGGCCGGCGGCGACTTGGAGCACTGAGCCGGCTTCCTGCAGGAGGGGAAGGGAACCCTTTGTCTCCGCGTGGCCCCCCTCTGGCTGGAGCATGGGAGGAATCATGTCCCCAGCCAGTGGTTCTCAGCAGGCAGAGACCCAGGGGCTCCAGCATGGACTTTGCCCCCACAGAGAACACGCCGGCCCCGGGGGCAGCCACCTTCGCCTGACGCACATGGGGATCTGGGGCAAGATGCCTGCTGCCCGGAGGGCCCGTCCCCGATCCCCGGCTGCAGCACGGCCCCTCCCCGATCCCCGGCTGCAGCAGTCAGGGCCGGGCCCCGGCTAATCTCCCACCCAGGCTAGTTGAGAGGCGCCCTGACAAAGAACCACTTACCCCGCTGGGGCCGTTCCAGGAGGAAGAACTCAAGGGCTTCCTGCCTCGGGGGGCCCGCCGCCTGCCCCTGCCAGAGAGAGGGAACAAGGCAGCGGTGATGGGGCAGCGCTCCGCCAGTTAGCGCCCGGCAGGCTCGGATCCCTGCTCCCGTGGCTAGCAGGGGTGCGCTATGCTGGAGAGGCCAGGCACTTGTCCTGGGAGCCGTGCCACTCAGACACCTCCCTATGCGGCACCAGGGCCCCACCGTGGCAGCTCCGGGGTAAGCCAGCTCCCGTGCCCCCAGGCGTCAATCTCCAGTCGCTGGCATCTCCGGAGTCCCCACAGCCACCAGTTCCCACCCCCCAGGAAGGCCTGGCGCACAGAGGACAGGCCCAGCTTCCAAGAGAGGCCTCCAACTGCGGGTGCCCACCCTCGGCGCCCCGAGCGTGGCGTGCACACGTGCCGAGTGGCCTGCGCTCTAGCCGGAGGCAATGGGAGCTGTGGTTGCTCAACCCTCCAATAATCAGGCCCCAAATCAGAGATCACGTCTCAAAAGTTGGGTCAAAATTACTTGCCGAAGCAAGATAGAACCCAGGAGTTCTGGCTCCCAGCCCCCTGCTCTAACCACTAGATCCCACTCCCCTCCCAGAGCCAGGGAGAGAACCCAGGCGTCCTGGCTCCCAGCCCCCCTGCTCTAACCACTAGATCCCACTCCCCTCTCAGAACCAGGGAGAGAACCCAGGCGTCCTGACTCCCAGCCCCCTGTTCTAACCACTAGATCCCACTCCCCTCCCAGAGCCCGGGAGAGAACCCAGGCGTCCTGGCTCCCAGCCCCCCTGCTCTCCCATCCCAGTAGAAGATTGTGATTTCGTTACCTTAGGGGTACTGGCTCGGAGTAATCATCCGCCTCACTGCCCGAGCTTGCTGAAGAGCGCCGGCTGCGGAAGCTCTCCACTGTGGGAGTGGGAGACAGTAAAGGGGAGCTCAGTCCTTGGGGGGGGTCCCCAAACCAGCATCCCTGGCCCCCAAACCCTCCCACACACAAACCACCGCACTCCTACAACGGGGAAGCACGGACTCTCCCAACACCTGCTCCAGCCATCAGCTGGTCCCCGGAGAAGGGATGGCCCAGGGGCTGGGGGACGTGGCCATGGGGCTCCCAGGCAGTGGCAAGCCCAGTGCAGTAACCCACCCCGGAGACATTCCCGGTCCCAGGACGTACCCGACGAGCTGCGTCCGTGACTCCTGCCCAGGCTGTCTCCGCTGAAGGCTGCCAGGCCCCGGGAGTTGGAGCGGCCCCAGCTGCCGGGCGGCGCATCACCCGCGCCCCGCCGGACCCGTCGCTGGCTGCGCCCAAGGGAAGAGGGTTATGCACAGAAGCAGGCATCTCGCGACCTGAAGATTCCTTGCCAAAACAGGCTGCCCGCCCCTGAAATGCAGCCACCTCTTGGGTGCAGCGCAGCAGCAGGCATGCAGCTCGTGGCAGGAAGGGAAGGGACACCACAGGGGGACCGGAGGGAAGCAGGGGACTGGGACCCTGAGGCTGACGCCCCCGCCCTTGCTAAACAGGCCAGGATCCTTAAATGGGCCTTGGGGCTCCAAGATCTCGGTGAGTTTCAGATACCATCTGGCGTTCCTGCCACTGGAGCCGTGTCAACGCCTCCTGATTAATCCTTGTGGCACCAACACCCTGCCCTCCCCAAGGATGGTGGAAGGGCTCAGATTCGGAGGGGGCGGGGGGGGGGGCAGTGCCCACCAGAGCGCTGGCAAAAGTCCGCTTCCCAGGCAGCATGGGGGCCACTGAACGCGGCGGCTAGAGGTGGAAACACGTGACCCCGTACATCCCCCAGGGACACCCTGATCTTCGGCAGTTGGGGGGGTGGGCGGCGGGGGACTTACTTTTTCAGTTCAGCCTCCTTCTGCTTCCGCTCTTTGGCCTTCACAAAGGCCGTGGGGTCGAAGCGCGGCGGCCGGGTGCCTGGGAAAGGGGAGACCGGCAGCGGGGTCAAGGGCGCGGGTTGCTGCTGCCACACCTGGGATCTGATCACCCTGCAGTGCAGGGTGAGAAAACAAGAGCCCTGGGGACAGATGGTCTCCATTCCCAGAATGGGCACAGCAAGGGCAACGGCGGGGCGAGCCCCCCCAACCCTCCTCAACACCATCCCCTCCCCATCTTGACGGGGCAAGACGGGAGTTTGGCCCCCTGGTCTATTCAGCTGTCGGCCGAGGCTGCTGACCGGGGGCTGCCTGAGGTGGACCCCACCCCGGCTGGCTAGGAGCTGGGCTGAGGCCCCAGCCCCCAAATCTCATCTCACACTGGGGACCAAGGCCCGGCACGCTGGGCATCACAGCGAGAACTGGCTCGGAACCAGCCACCTGGAGGAGAAGGGCTGGGTAGACCCTTCCCCGCCCCTCCAAACTGTTCAGGATTCAGCTGCAGGGACTGGAGTGGGGGGGAGGGGATTGCTACCTCCCCCACATCACTGCATGTGACCAAGGTTCTCACCTTGCCTGGAGACATCTCTGTCGGAGACAGGGCACTCCCACAGTGCTCAAGGCCAACCTAGGGTCCCCAGGCCCTGTGATCTGGGCAGGGGACCTGCCCAATGGCTCCTCTCCTACCCCCTCACCTGTGGGTGATGGTGACTGGCGAGGGAGGCGGGTCTGGCTCCCGCCGCGCCCTTCTCTGGACGTGGAACGTGGCCGGTTTGTCGGCCAGGCCCCGCCACGCTCCCGGGAGTTGGAGCGCTCCCCGGAGGTAGAGCGCCGCTCCGCTCGGGCCATGGCCACAGCGCTGCTCCGGCCCGGGGCAGCGTGACTGAAGCCGCGGGAGGACGCCACTCGGTTCTGAGGGGATGGGCCGGTGGGGGTCAAGCGCCTGGAAAAACAGGAGAGAGCAGTCAGTCCTGGACGTGAAGGACGTTCGGGTCATCCAATCTGGCCTCCTGCATCACACTGGCCACAGAATCCCCCCAGGTATCCCTGCATCCAGCCCAGATCTGACAGTCGCGCTAGAGCAGAGATGTCCACTGTCTCCAAGCCCCGGAACACTCCCTATCCCCAACACAGGGTCAGTCGTTCCAATGCTCAATTCCCCTCCCCGTTAAACACTGGCGCCTTATTTCAAGCCTGAATCTGTCTAGCTTCAGCTCCAGCCATGGATCTTGTTTCTGCCTTTGTCTGCTGGACTGAAGAGCCTCCGCTCTTAGAAAGTCCCCCTGTGCCACTGGTTCGCTGCTCTGTGCCGGCAGCTCTCGCCAGCAGAGGACAGAGGCAACACACGTTCATATACATATGAGGTAAACAAAGCTAACGAGCAGGGAGAAGACAGCCTGGCATCTATGTCCCAGCAGAGAAACGACGTCTGGGCTTACTCTGCGAAGAGCAGGTTCCCAAGGGTTACTGAGGCCTTGGCTACACTTACCGGCAAGTTCGACGGCTGGAAATCGAACTTCTGGGTTCGACTTATCGCGTCTAGTCTGGACGCGATAAGTCGAACCCGGAAGTGCTCGCCGTCGACTGCGGTACTCCAGCTCGCCGAGAGGAGTACCGCGGAGTCGACGGGGGAGCCTGCCTGCCGAGTGTGGACCAAGGTAAGTTTGAACTAATTCGAAATAAGGGACCTCACTTTCGCTACGTGAATAACGTA